ATGGATCGTGGTGGCAGTTTTGTTAACTGCTCTTGGGAGGTTACTTGGAAGGCACTCTATAAATAGAGCAAAAATGAAGGAAAAGGGGGAAATTGGCAGAGAGAACTGAAACATTAGTGAAAAGTCTACCGGAGAACGACGAAATCATGAAGTTTCTGGCGATCTGGATTTCCATTTTCATTGATTGTCTTTACCGTTTTTTGTACTTTCCCTGGTAATTTATGTTCATGCAATTTATTTTAATGCAGTTTACGTTTAAACAACTTTAAGTTTCTGCACTTTTAATTCTATGTTATTTTACTTTTATGCAAAGTTGAGATTCTGCATTTAAGTTCCTCGCTATTTACACTTATGCAATTTCGATTTCCTGTTATCTACTTTTCTGCAAAGTTCGATTTTCTGCTTATTTACAGTTCTGCAATTTTCGATTCCTTGTCATTTACACTTAATGCAAATTTTGAGCTTTCCGTATTTATGTTTCTCTGCAATTTAATATTTTGCACCACTTTTCGATCCAACAATTTTACTGCTTTCTTTACTTCGCGTTACCTAATAAAAAATACCAAAAATAGTACTTGCGATTTGCACTTTAAATAGTGTTGTTTGCATTCTCGAGATTCTCGATTTTCATGCACTTTTCGATTGAAAACTAGTTGCTAGCTTAAGTAAAAAGAATCTACATGGTCAAGATTTGATTAGGACTTAACTCCCCATAAATCGAAATATTAATCAAATTTTCACCAGAAACACGTATAAATTAATCTTTTCGCACGAAAGAAAATCGTCATATTATGTATTTATATTGGATAATGTGAAAGGTGTAGATATTTTTTAATTCAATTCATATACAAAGTAAAAAATATATAATATGAATGTTTGTTAGTGATATAACATGAGACCTGACCGAGAGCTTAAGTACTTGATTTACTTGTTCTACATGATTAGTTTGTATCTTAATTTAGCATATGAATGAAATAATAAATTCTTTGAAATAATAATTTTTTAGTTTCTTTTGTGTTATTTTTAAATTTTATAATCATATTATTATATAGAAACAAATTATGTTTTAAGGAGAGATTTTATTTTTTTTAGCATTATATATATATATATATATATATATATATATATGTATATATATATAATAAAATTTCTTGAAACTCTTATCTAAGAGGAAATATATGTATTTCAAATAATGATATAAATATTAATTATATTTATATTATTATATTATTTAGTTTTATTTTATTAAATAATTATTAGTAGCCTAACGGTAGTATGTGAAATTAAATAATTAATTATGTTATTTAATAATATTTTATGATTTTAATTTTTTTCTTTTTATTATAGTGTAAGAAAAATTACACTTAATTTCACACTAAATAATATACAAACCTGTTTAGTTTTAAGTAGACATAACATTTTTTAATGTTTTTAATTTTTAAGTAGATATGACATTTTCATGTTTTAATGAAAATTTTGTTAATATAACCATTGTATTGCTTGTACAATGAATAAATAAAAAAATTATGTGTTTAATGATAATTTTAATAAACATATTAATATGAAAACAAACAATTAATAAAAAATATTAAATTTAATAAATTCAACATAAATATTATAATTATTGAATATAACCTTCAATATTTATTATTTAAGATATTTATTATGACATTTCGTAAATATAGCATTGGATACCAAAGTGTAGCTAATTTCACTTATTATATATTGAGTTATTTTTCAAAGTTTTCATGTTTGCTATATAATTTTAAAAACATCTTAATTATATATTTTCAATGTTTTCACTGGAACTATTTTTTCATATTTTTATGTCCAAAATTTTCATAAATTTTGTTAAAAATATTAAAATGATGTCATTTTATTATTAATTGTTATTTTGACCTTACTTTATTAAGAGTGTGATATTTTGACAACCAAAAATCATACCATCTTTCAAATAACTCACTTTTATTAATATAATAATTTATAGAATAATTTAATAAAAATAAAAATAAAATAAAATTATTATTATAATATTAAAATAGAATTTAAGTTATGAAAATATCATTTTCCCTTCACTTATATGTTGTAAGGTCCATACTTACCAGAGAAGTCTAGTCCGAAAATAGCACTGATGTAACAGATGACTTATGTGGAGTACTATATACCCGTGACGTGAAATCATGCATGTGATCTTACTAAACATGACCTAATAACACTTTTAGATAATTTTTGGATAACTTTTGGGTAAAAGAAGAAAAACAAATGTAACACTTTTATTATTATTATTATATTTATAAAGATAATTATTAAATATATTTTTTTATTGTTTATATATCATCACCAAAATTGTTTTTTTATACAGTTCTCAAAATTCAAGTGACTCTCCAAATCATACATTTGCTAGTCAATCTAATAATTTCTTCTAATTTTGACTTTTTGTAATGTTCTTTTACGTCGAATTACACAAATTCACACGTTTCAGGTTCTTCTAGATAATAACATTCTGGCTCAGTTTTGTAGGAAATAATATGGCATGAAAAGTCTAAATCTGATAAATACTAGGTGTGAAATGATATATGGCAGGACCACAATTGGTGTGAGTTAGAAGAAGTGCTTAACTGGGTGCAATTTCTCACGGATATTTTGAAAAATACAGGTTTAAAGGATAAGATGGATTCAATTGTTTGGAGGGATGCTACACATGGAAAACTCTCGCTTAAAGAGGCTAGGAGTTGTTAGTGAGAGTCACTTATATTTTGCCATCTAGGTTCTCTCACTCGTTGGAAAATCATACATAATGAGGTCTTTACGAACAAGAATCTTAGAAAATGTGGTTGTACTGTGGTCGCTTGTGCTTTCAATGGGAAAACTTATGAAAAATGGTATTATATTGTCTCAGCTATTAGATAATTAATTAAGATGGTTGAGATAATAGATTTATATTAGATTAAATAAAGATAAATATTTTATAATTTTTGAAAAAGTTATACCAGAGGTAGATAATTGGTTTATATGTAATAAAATAAAGATAAAATTTTTCATAATTCTTATAAAAAGATTTAATATATTTATTGACTTAAGTATCAATAACCTTTACAAGTGACTTTTCTCTCCTCTTCTACATGCATTAGAACGACTCAAAACGTTATATCGAATAATGAATAGTGTTTAATGAACTGTGAAACTGAATAAAAAATCTTATTTCAATTCCATCATTTTATTTTTAAATAGGAGATTATGTTCATATATATTTATGAATTCTACGTCACTTAAAAGTCAAAATTTAATATAATTTATATATATTATTTTCTCAATCTATTTAAATATTTCAAAATAAAATCATAATAAATGAAAATTTTAAAATTTATAATAACTTAAACGTAATAATAGATTATAATTATATTATAATAATAAACATAAAACGTAAATACTCTTATTTTTAAATGGAAGAATAATAATTAAACTATGAAAATTAGATTATTGATACAAATGTAATAAAATATGAGATATCAACTTGTGAGAATGTCATGAATAGAAAATAATGTCTAAAATCTCAATTTTTATAATAAATAAAAATAAATCAACCAAATCAAATTCACCAACTAATATTATTTATTTTGAAGTAATAAGTTGTATTCAATCATAAGATATATTAGGAGATTCTTAAAAAAATACTAAAAAAATTCAAATATTAAAATCTAACAAGATTTATATATATATATATATATATATATATATATATAATAATAATAAATATAAAAATGTACAATTATAATGTAATACATTGCTTTTTAAATGAAAAAGTCACCCATAATTTTTTTCCCAAACATGATAAGAATATTTATTCAATTTAACTAACATTCAAAACTATACCTAAAAAAATGTGATTAAAAGTTTTCATATATATATATATATATATATATATATATATATATATTATACTAAATTAATTCATAAAGTAATTGTTCAGTTTCAAATTTAAATTTGATTTGGTAGTTATGTTTTCATTGGTGTTGAAATTATTAGATTTAAAAAATAAAAATATAAAGATACATATTTTATATTTATTAAATTTACATTAAAATTATGTTATGTTATATATCTATTTAATAAATGTTTTTCAAATTAACTCTTTCAAAAATTCCAAATATTGGTTAGAGTACATAGCAATTCTTATTCATAATAGAGTAGAAGAAATTGTAGAATGCTTACACATGTAATTATAATTCAAAATGTCAGCAAAACCCATCTCCTCTATGCCACATGGATTCTAATTTAAAAATAACATGAACTGCTACATCACAAGGTACAGATCCTAACTAGGTTACCATAAATCATGAGTCCAAGTTAATGAACTAAAAGAAAGAAAATAATAACCAAATACAATTATGGGGACCCAACCAAAAACTCATAAGAAATTTAAATGAACTTATTCTTAAACAAAGTCACCTAAATACAAGAAGGTAAATCATCTAAAGCAAAACCTAGAATGTAAATCACCAATAATAGCACTTTTCCTCTCTCTTCTCACTCAACACATCACAAATTCCATGCTAACCTTAAAACCACCATGAAACATATCACCTAAAGTAGTATTCACTCACTTCTTTTGAAGCAAGCTTGCTTCAAAACATAATTCATTCTTAGTAGTATTCACCCACTATTTTTATAACGCTTCCTTTGAGAGTAGTTTTTATTAACTATTAGTTTATTAATTTATAATGAAGATAGTATAATAATGCATTCAAACTTTCATCTTCAAACGATATATAAATATTTCAAAAACACACACGTATATATTACCAAACAAAATTTATAACGAAGATAGAATAGTAATGCATTCAAACTTTCATCGTCAAACGATATATATAAATATTTTAAAAAAGTTAAATATCGAGAATTTGGTAATAACGTCTAAATAAAATTGCATACAAATAACATGTTCTAAATATTCAATATTTATTAAACTACGATGATCTTACACAAACGATCATCCTTCATCACTTCTTCTTCCTTTTTCGTGCCTCCAATAGAACCTACACATATGAATATATAAAAATTAGTTACAAAATATTTTTTTTAATGCAGAAATACAACTTATTTAAACTATATAAAAATTATTAGTTGAAGTTATAACAAGTAAACAAAATATGTATCATACACTAGGATCATTAGAAGCCCTCATCATCAAAGTAGTACAACCATGAGGTTTTTCCTTTTTGTCTGAAGGTTTGTTTTTCTTCTTCACTGCAGTTGAACTCTCTCCCGTTGCCTTGACCTTTTGCTTCTTTCCTGATCTGCAATTTTTTAAAATATGGTTGTGATTATATGTAATTAATAAAAATATATACTCTAAAAAATATTTAAAAAAAATTCAAAATTTGTTTGTACTACAATTATTAAAGTTAAATATCTCTTTTATACATACACTTTTCATCCAACTCTTAGTAATCATATATAAACCTCTAGAACACAAAAACAACAGAAAGAAAAAGAAGAAAAAGAACATGTTACAACCAAATTCGGTACGTACATAAGGAAAAACAAATATGCTAATACCAACTGAATTTTGATCCTTGTAATTTATAAAACTGTTTCGTTAGTTTTCAAATCTAAAAAAATAAATGTAAATTTATTCTTTTTTTATCAACTTCGTGACTTCAAAAATTTAATATTAAATATAAATTTACTTATAAATATGGATTAAAATCACATATTTTCAAATATTATATAATTAAATTCATAACTTTGAAAGTTTAAGGATCAAAAGACATGTTTAAAGAACAAGATAAGGATCAAATTTATAATTTCCCTCTAACAAGTATATATATGAAGACTAATAAATTTTTAAATTAAATTATAAATATTGCATACCTTGCTTTCGGCACTTTTGGAGCATCCACCTCTTGAGCCTCCGCCATGACTTTTTGGGTTGCCTTACTTTTGTCAACCTCCTCTTGCTCCAAATATTCAATCGGGCCATCTTCAAATTCAACCTTGATTCAAACCATTTTCAATGAACAAAGTAAATAATTCCCATTATCGAATGTAGTCACCAATTTAAAAATTTTATAAATTCGTAACTAGTTATGATAATATATTAAATGAACTTGCAATAATCAATTTATTCATAAGAAAAATATTCAATACAACAAGAATATGGATATCATCCTAATAAATATTTGACCAATAACACTTTAAAGAAACACACTGATCATATGCACGAATTACATTTAACACGACCAATTTCTTAAATTAAAGAAGATGTAGTTTCAGCATATTCTTTTTGGTATTGTAGGAAATAACAGTTCCTAGATATTTAACTCCATTATATTCCTTGCACACATAACGACCTATGAACATTTGAGGTTTGTCATTAGTATCCTTTCCTTCCTTTTTACTCTATGAAGATAGAACAACTACTTATTACATAAAACTTATTGTCATGCAATTACAATATACATTCAAAGCATGCAAACACATACCTCTTTTTGTCCAGCTTTAGGCTTTTGCTTATTTTCCTTTCTCTTAGCAATGCTATTCATGACTGATCCCGAAGTAGCACCTTCTTAAAAGCAATCAAGAAAATCAAATTAGTAGTATAAACATAACACTAAACTTATAGGTATTTTAGTGTGTGTCTAATTCCATAACAAAAATTCACTGTGATTTCGAGGTTAGTTAATGCATTTAAAAGACATAATTGATATAACATTATTGAGATTTTCTATATGGAGGCTTGTCAAAACAAAATAAAAATGCTAAACTATGGCATGTCTAATATTGAATACATAATGGTCGGGTCGAGAACCAGCAACCAAGTGCAGATTCTTGCACACATAATATAATCCATGTCTACCAAAATTCATAATAATTTTTTATATGTAAAGAATTTGGTTATTGAATATTTACAAAAGACTTTATAGATTGAGCATAAAAACTAAATATATGTCATCATCAGTGGCGGATCTTCTTGGGAGCTAAGGGGGGCCGTGGCCCCCTAAAATTTTATAACTCCCATGTAATTTATGATTTTGGCCCCCCAAACTTAATAAACATTTAATATATTTACTTGTATATTTACAATTTTATCCTCTCAACCCCTCCTTAATTTTGTAACTCCCATGTAATTTATGACTTTGTTCCCCTCAAACTTAATGATCATTTAATATATTTAAATATATATCTACAATTTTATCCTTTTATCCTTTCATCTTCTTTCTTCCTTTTATATTTATTTATTATTTATTAATAATATATTATTTTATATTTATTTATTATTTATTAATAATATATTATTTGGTCCCCCAGGATCAATGGTCAAGATCCGCCATCGGTCATCACTCTTCTACATCCACGCATGACTCTTCACACAACAACTAAATCTCCTCTTTGAAGAAGATAATTCAAATATTTTAGTGTATCAACATGTCAAGTTGACGAAAGATAATACATATTACAAGATCTTCATTATTTGCATGGTATTTCTAAAGGAGGCTAACAAACACTACAAGGATCACAATTTTTAAACTAATTTTTTTTTGGTCATTTATATGTTAATGTGAGTTTCCTTTGAAAGTAGTTAAGTGAATCATCTTTCAAAACACAACACTCTATTTTCAATAATGTAAGTTTTCTTTGTACTTTTTGTATTTGTTACTTATTTTTTAAAAGAAAAACCATACACAATTTTTTTTTTTTATTTGTCTATTATATGTTATCTACTTAGTAAAGTGAGAAACTCTACCTTTTTGCTAGAGTCTGATTAGAGCCTAAAGATATTTGTTAATAAGAAAAATTGGGATATTATCTAGAGCTTTTAGAGGAATCATAAGTTGTTTTTGCTAGTTTGGGAATTTTATTGTTAAAACTTTGATTGGCATATTAGAAGAAATATTGAACTCAATGATCTTTGGTTTGGTAGGTTCTATAAATAATTAATTAAAAATAGATATTTTGTTTAAATTGGTAGTTTGGTGCATCAATCTAATAATCTTGATTATATAGTGATAATTTAATAAAAGAGGTTTGGATTGAAGACTTAATGGTTTGGATTTATGAAAAGAAGGAAGTTAAAGGAAACGACTTTCTAGTTACATTCACTGAGAAAATTCATTTTTCTCAACAAATCTAAATAAAGGGATAAAGTGAAAGATGGATTCACCATGAGATTTAAGTCACTGAGAGACTCAATAGCTTAGTGACAATAAAAATAAAGAGTTAAATATTTAGAGAAAATTCATTGAACAAATTGCATTTTCTTAGTGAACCCTAAAGAAGAAAAATTTGGGGAAACTAAATTTTGAAGATTCCTATTTATCTCTAGTTTTCAAAAGCAATACATAATTGTGATTTCCATCCTACAAAATAATCACATAAAAAAAAAAAAAAGATGTCATAAGAAATTAAGTAAATCCACAAATTATATCTAAGCAACAAAATCTAAACATGCAAGAATTAAGAATACTTACCTTCAATGTTCAAACATGGAGTATTATTTTTGTCACTCATTTTTGGATACTCTTCAAAACCCTAAATCAAAACAACCAAAAAATTATGAAAAAAGTTATATAAGTTAGTTTCTTTGATAGAGATGTAATAAACAGACACAATAATAAAAAAAAAAAACTTAGAAAACATGCTTTCAAAGATCTACTAAGAAACCCCTCTATAGGGACCAACCTTACTGAAGAATTTGTAAAGACAAGTTTAGAGATAGAGATAAGAAATGGTTTCTTTGTGCCTGTGGTTATATATTTAAATAATTCATAATTGGAACCTTTGAATGAACATTAATAATTAATATATTATAATATATTTAATAAGTTAAATTTAAAATATACAAGAGTTATGAATTATTCAATATTCATTTAATACATCAATTATGATTTGATTTTTATTCCGTTGATTTTATATTTTTAATTTCACCTTTATGGAATGTTCTAGGTTGTTTTTAAAATTTTTCCATTTGAATATATATCCTATATTTAAATATTGTATAATAATTTATATTTTTTTATATATTGTGATTAATATATCATTAATTTATTAATTTAATATTTTTATTAATATAATTTATTATTTGTATTTGATGTGCATTGAATAAATTACAATTTATATTTATTATTATTATTACACTAGTGCAAAAAGGGGCTTTTACGTCAGGTATTTAGGATTTTTCACGTCGTATTTAAAACTGACGTTAAAACGGGAGACGTAAATTTACGTCGGACCCTTTAACCCGACGTAAATTTACGTCGATTATCAAGACCCGACGTAATTTTGCGTTGCATATACCACTAAACAGACGTAAATACTTTCAGAAATTAAAAAAACAACAAATTTACGTCGCATATGGTATATGTGACGTAAATTTACGTCACATATACCAATACGCGACGTAAATTTGTCGTTTTTTTAATTGGGTTGATTCTCGTTTTACAACTAAAACCTGCAAATAAATATTACAACCAGGCAGATTCAGAGGTTCAATTTTCTTTAGCTAGTAATATAATGATGAATAAATATAATGTTATTTTCAAAATTTAAATACAAACAATAATTATGGTATTCACTTATTATAATAAGTTTCTAATCTTAGGATAAATAAACTGCAAAGTCTTTGTTCTGGGTTTTCCACTTAGAACATTAGTTATAGACACGATTCTAAATGAAAAAAAGCCATATATTATTCAATATTGATAAAAATATTTCCAAAAACCCCTGTCTTGTATTGAATATGATAGCACAATATATACATGAAATACAGAAACATTCTAGGCTATAATTACGCTAACCATTATAGTCGGTATCCTAAATTTGTCTATTAACGAGATATGACATTAATGTGCATCACTCGTGCATCATTGTCATGCCAAGCTAAATATGGAAAAAATTAATCATGTAGAATCATGGCATGATACGGTATTTGTAATCGTATATTCTATGTTTATCACCCTCCCTCAAGATGGAGTATGAAGGTTATGAATGCCCAACTTGCCTAAAAAAGAACCAAATTTAGTGGCGCCAAGAGATTTGGTGAAGAGATCAGCCGAGTTGATGATAAGTGGACACATAGGAGGGTTGGATATGATTGTGTTGTATTTCATCACGAATAAGATGACAATCCACTTCAATATGTTTTGTCCGTTCATGAAACACGGGATTCTTGGCAATGTGAAGGGCAGCTTGGTTGTCACAGTAGAGAGTCATAGGGTCGGTGTGAGTAATGCCTAGGCTCGAAAGAAGGCCTTGAAGCCATTTCAACTCACATGTCGTGTTGGCCATAGAACGATATTCCGCCTCAGCGGATGATCGAGAAACCGTATGTTGCTTCTTGGTTTTCCAGAAACGGGGATTGACCAAGGAAAATAAACCAACCTAGTGAGAGATCTTCGAGTGAGAGGACAACTTGCCCAGCTCGAGTCACACCAACCATAAAGACGAAGGTCACTCTCTCTTTTTAAAAGCACACCCCGACCCGGGCTGCCCTTTAAATAGCGTACCACGCGGAGTGTAGCCCGCCAATGCTCCCGACGCGGTTGGTGCATGAATTGAGATAGGACATGAACACCGTAAGATAATTCAGTCGTGTAAAACACAAGTAAATAAGGTGACCGACGAGACGTCGATATTGACTCGGGTCGGAAAGTAGTTCGCCATCGCCCAATGCTAAACGATGATTTTCTTCGATTGGCGTGGACACGAGTTTCCCTCCAAGCAATCCCGCTTCAGCCTATGATGTCCAACGCATACTTCCGTTGACACAAGAAAATTCCTGTAGGAGATCCGGCAACCTCCACCCCAAGAAAGTATTTTAATTTCCCTAAGTCCTTCATACGAAAACATTGATGAAGATAATCTTTGAATTGCGCAATGTCTTCATGATGATTGCCAGCAATGACTAGGTCATCCACGTAAACTAACACAACCAGCTTCGACATCTCCTTTGCGAAAGATGAACAAGGAGTGATCGGACGAAGAACGTTGAAACCCATATTGAACAAGAGCAGCTTGAGAGCTTGGCAAACCAACACCGAGGAGCTTGACGAAGACCATAAAGGGACTTGCGGAGACGACACACCATACCCTTTTGAGACACCAAGAACCCCGGCGGCATTTTCATGTACACATCTTCCTCAAGATCGCCGTGCGGAAAAGCATTATGGACATCCATTTGATGGAGTTCCCAGTCTTTGGCTACTGCCACTCGCCAACACTGTCCGAATGGTGACCATCTTTGCCACTCAGGGCAAAGGTCTCGTCATAGTCAATCCCCTCAACTTGGTGATTTCCCAAGACAACTAATCGGGCTTTGAAGCGTTCAACGCTCCCATCGGAATGATATTTGATTTTATAAATCCACTTGCAACCCGAGAGGCTTCTTCCCTGCTGGTAGAGGAGTAATGTCCCATGTTTCATTACTTTGGAGGGCCTCGAATTTCACTAGCCATGGCATCTCTCCATCTAACATCCCGAACAGCTTCAAAGAAATGCACAGGTTCTCTCTCCGCATGAAGGGCTGCAAGAAAGGTTCGGTGGGGGAAGGAGAATTTAGCACAATTTAAGTACTTTGTCAAACTGTAAGGCATACCCGAGGAAGCTGAATGTGGAGTGCGAATTGAGGGACCGAGTTGTAAAGTGGTGTTAGTGACATAATCACGAAGCTTCACGAGATGGCTTTCGTACACGAAGACCTTTCCCCGGGGATGCAGGGACAGTATGCTCCTCGGGAACCTCTAGTTCCGTCATCATAGAGTCGGTTTGTTCCGGTGGGAGAACGATCCGGGTGGGAGGCTCTTGTTCATGGCATTCGGCGTGGCCCTCCCCGAACTCGGTTGTGGGCACATCTTCGTTGTGGGGTTAACGTCATCGGTCTCCACAACGTGTTCCGCATTGTTCATTGCACCAAGTCCAGGCAATGCTTCCTCGACAATGCCAACATCAACAGTAGGCAATCCTACCTCTGAATGTCTACTGTGGGCAAGAGAGGCAAACGAGAATTCATGTTCTACAAACTTAACATCTCTCGAAGTCCAGAAGACTTCTCTTTCCAGATCAAACAATTTCCAGCCCTTTTTTTCGATTGAATATCCAACAAATACATTCTTGCGACTTCTACTTGCAAATTTGTCACCTTTCCTATCTTGGTTATGTGCATAACACAAGCATCCAAATACCCGTAGATGGTCATAAGTGGGTGGCTTCCCATTCAATATTTCATATGGAGTTTTTCCATGGAGAACGGTTGAGGGTGTACGATTGATCAAGTATCCTGCGGTCAAAATGCATTCTCCCTGAATTGAAGTGGAAGTTCTCCCGAAATCGTAGAGCACGAGCTACATTTAGGATGTGTCGATGTTTTCGTTCGGCTCTCCCATTTTGCTGAGGTGTTCCAGTGCATGAGGTTTGATGGAGTATCCCATGTTGCTGAAAATATCGTTGAAGACACATAAACTCAGTTCCATTGTCACTTCGTAATATTTTGACTTGTTTCTCGTATTGTCGTTCTATTAAGGCGATGAAATGCATTAAGGTTTGTGACACATCTTTCTTATTATTCAAGAGATATATCCACACAGCTCGAGAACAGTCATCAACCAAAGTGAGAAAGTAAGATGCACCACAAGACGAGGGAGTTCTATATGGACCCCATAAATCACAATGTATTAAATCAAATATATTGGATGCTTGAAAATCACTTAAAGGAAATGTGTTTCTGCATTGCTTTGATCTCTCTCACACTTCACACACATGAGTTGTATCCGTATTTCTATTCACGTTGTTTAGATGCGGAATTTTTCTAACAATCTGGTAGGCAGGATGTCCCATTCGCTTGTGCCAAATCTCTAGTTGATTTTCTGCATTGGTCTGATACGCCTTTATGCCACTCACACCACGATACCAATAGAGTCCCTCTTTTCGTTCACCCGCTCCAATCAGCATCCTCGAAGTGTGGTCCTGCATTGCACAAAATCTATCAGTAAAATGTACTGTACATTTTACTTCATTCGTCAATTGTGATACTGAAATCAAATTGCAATTCAATTTCGGAACATATAGAACATGTTTAAGTTTCAGTCCTCCATCAAGGAAAACCGATCCTTCTTTGTTTGCCAGCACCAATTCACCATTTGGTAGTCCCACCGGGCACCCTTCCAAGGCTCGACTCTCCCTCAAGTTTTCTAGTGTTCCTGTCATATGATTAGAGGCGCCACTATCAATAATCCACAAGTCACATGCTTTCTTACCAGTCATCTTTTCGGTTTCATTTGCCTTGCGAGAATTCAACATTGTCTGTCAAGATCCGCCATTGCTCATTACTCGATCCCGCGACTTCGGTTTTTCGGTTGAACCAACGTTATCCGCACCAGGTGTGCGCCATATTGACGCGAGCCGTTCCTCCTTTTCCTCGGAAGGTTCCTGTTCTTTGTTGATTTTTTTTCATCGTTTCTATCGGTTCGTGGTCTCTCTCCCCACCATTCCGGGTAACCAATGATCTTGAAGCAATT